AATACACCACAAATCCAACCCGTCATCCTAAAGCTCTCACTTCCTCTACATCAAAGTCGTTTTTATCATTCTTCTTCTTCTTCTTCTTCTTCTTTTTACTTATAGAGAGTATCAGAGTCTTAGAGAGAACGCAAGATGTCGGTTTTGGCAGCAAATTCTCACATTTTGTATAGAGAAATGCATCACAGAGAGCATCAGCAACAGTTTTGGATCAGTGGGGGCAGCTTGTTGCTGCCCAAAGCTTCTTCTGGGTTTGGACTTTTGAACAGAAACAGAGATGATGGCAAGAAGATGTTGAAGTGGGACTTCAAAGTTGAGGCTTTTTGGAATGATTCAAGACCCACTGTTGTAGCGCTGGAAGCCATCAACGACTGTGATCACTTTGATCAGATTCTAAGCCATGCACAAGAGCAATCCCAGCCCATTATCATTGACTGGTCTCTCCCTTTCTCCCTTATCTTGTCTTGATGAATAAGTGAATGCCAGCTCACCTATTTTGTTCACATTATCTAAATATCTTACTTGGTTATAAACAGATGAGGTTTAGTAAACAAATGAATTTTGGTTAAGAAGTTCGGTCTTATAGGTTAGGCCAATTGGTCGAGGGAATAGGTTAGGCCAGTTGGTCGAGTGAATGGATCTTAGGATTTTTTATTTTTTTTGGGGACAGGATGGCAGCTTGGTGCCGCAAATGCATTTATTTGAAGCCTAAATTGGAGAAATTGGCTGCTGAATATGACACCAAGTAACTCTCTCTCTCTCACTGAAATTTGGTATAATTTTCATGAATTTGGCAATATTAAATTGCACAAATAAGAGACTCTTTTCATGTGATGAGTTGTGATCAATTTACAATTGTGACATTTTTGTGCGCACAACAGGATCAAATTCTATTATGTTGATGTCAACAAGGTACCGCAAGCTCTGGTTAAGCGTGGAAACATCTCTGTATGTCTGAATTTCACCCCCTTCCATAATTTTAATTTTACTTGGTTAATAAGTTGCCTAATTTTTATTAATAATTTTTTTATCTTCCTGTTTTCTCAGAAAATGCCAACAATTCAGGTGAGATTTTTCGATTGTGCAGCAAGACTTTTCTGATTGTATTGGTTAACAGTGCGAAACTTTTCTAAGTGGACTGTTAATGTAACGCAGATATGGAAAGATGGGGAGTTTAAAGCAGAAGTTATTGGGGGACATCAAGCCTGGCTTGTACTTGATGAAGTGAGAGAAATGATCCAAAAATTTGTGTGATGCTTGATGTTTTGGTCTCCCTATTTCTTGTAATATTTTTGTTTTCTTTCTTCTGCTAGGCCTCTGTTCTTGTAAACTTTTCTAACCACAGCATATAATGAAGAACACAATATGTACAGTCAAATTTCTTTCTATCTTTGTTTCCTTAAAGGTCTTTGTTAAGATGCACTCCAGTTTTGTGCTCAGTTTTCTAATCTTTGCAGCCCTAAGGAAAGTAAAAGAAACTTGTATGCGAAGTGCCAACATGCCTCAAGCAAGCAGACTTTAGATACAAAAGGCCAACTATATGTCAAAGTGGTAAAGGCTTTAGTTTAGAGTTGATTAATTTACTTGACAAAAAAAAAGTGGTATGGCTTTCACTACCTTCTAGTTCTCAAACTGAAGCAAAACCGACAATCACTTCGAATAATCCATCAGCTTCATGGTTTTCGAAGTAACGGACAGTATGGACTTTCGAAAGATTCATGAGTGCAAGCTTGAGAGCTCAAGGGGCCTGTCATGATACGAATATGAAACGTGGGTCAGTCAAAGGCATGAGAGTCCATAAATATCAATAAGTTGCCAATTCAACCTAAGAATATAGGTTCTGTTATCACCCCCAGATGACAATAAACCAAAAGAAATTCAAGCCAGGAACATAGTTTTGTTTTCATGAAAGTAGGTTTCAGATTTCATGTCCCTAATCCCAACTCTAACCTGATATCATCATGTAGGATATGCTTTCTTTTTACTTAGCATTTCAAATCACTAAGTAGGATATTGAAGTCACAGGCTGATCCTTGCATTCTATAAACTTCTAAATCTAAATGGCTACCAAGATTGAATTTACATTATGATTTAAGAATTTCTCAAACAACCAAGATTGAAACTTCTAAACCAATACTCACGAACTTAACTAAAAGAAGGATATCTTGGATTTGTACATCCTACTTGGCCAAATAAGAAAAAGTGGAGATACAAAATACCAAAGGAACAACACCAACCCATAGATCAAAAGCTAGAGAAGGGCAAGGGATTATGAGAGGATCATTTGAAGTGCATGCTTAACAATTTTACAAGGGTCATAGTAGCAGAGTCATTTTATCAAACAGCTGGTGGGCGAGCTTTTTACATGGATTAGATTGTAAGAAACAAGATTTCATACTAAAAAATCAGTCACTGAACCATCAAATACTGGACAGATATGCTTTTAAATTAGAAAAGTAGATTGAATTCAAACTTTTACTCACACCTGGAAGATCAAAGACTAAGCCACCGAACCATCGAAGACTTCAAATGCAAAATCCTCATAGTTCGTATAGCTTCTAAAGCCTCTGTAACTACATTCAACTACAGCTTTGCCCTTGGGATTGTGGGAAACGTGGAGAGGGCAAAAAAAAATTTGGCAGAAAAGAGAGCAAAAAAATTTGGACCATTTCTCGATTTATGCGTGTCATCCTTGCGCAGGGGCCATGCTAATCTTCTCTGTATCGTTCCAATTTTATCGGATGTCCCCGAAGGGACGAGCTATGATCTTAAGCGCATGTATATAAAGAACTCATTAAATTCGCAATTCTTCGATGTGGGACAAAGCTTCCTCGGTTTTAATAGCAAGTTGTTCAGCAGTTGGGCCTTTCCTTGCGGATCTAACAATAAGCCCAATGGTCACATAATTCCATCGGAGAGTTGTTTTACCTATACCAAATTAACCTGTGGATTAATTTCTTTTTTCTGATAAATTAAAGTTAAGACCCGACTTGACAACAGGATATTTGTACAACTCAACATAATTTTTTTTTCCCCAATTTGTTTGTACTTCTTGACAAGTAATTTTGTAGAGGCAAGTTCTACAAAATTAATTATTTTTTGTTACAAGACAAAGCAAAATTACATTCTGTCCAATTGTTAGATAGTGTAACACTGGCATCCTTGTCATAAATTTAGCAGTATTAGATTACAAGATATGACTTTTTTCATGGTATGGGTCGTGATCAATTGAATGACATTCGGTGTACACAACAGGGTACCTCAATTCCTTGTGAAGCATTCAGAAGGCATGTACTTGATGGAGTGAAGAAATGATCCCAAAATTTGTATGACGCTTATGTTTTTTGATCTTCTTGTACTTTAATACGAAAATATACGGATATCCGAATAAAAAATTTACAAAAGGCCTCGGTGCTATTTGATTAATATTATTTATAGTGGGCCTACCTTTTATGCTATGTTGGTACCGAATCACTGCATAGGCCCACCACCCACACTTTATCTGTGTTTTTTTTTTTTTATCGAATACTTACGTATGTTGGTATGTAGGATTATCCCATTAGCACTTATGCATGTCGGTAACGAACCTCCGCATAGTACCCACCAACTAGCACCGATATTGTCCCCAACTTAGCCACCTAAGTCCAATAGATTGGTCAAGCCCAATAGACCTTTATTATAGGTGTGGGGTTTTCCCTAAAGGCCTTGGTGCTATTATCAATCAAACCCCTATATTTAAGGTGTAAAATACTATTATAGTTCTCCGATGTGGGACTCTATAAAAACAAATAAAGCAGTAATAAGTCAACAACTCCCTGTGTAACTGACTTGGTAACTCGCTGAGTTCTTAAGCTTGCTGTCGTTAGTTCTAGCCCCACAATAATCGACGCGTATATTTTTTTGAAAATGCTTACATGCAGCCATTCATTTCTAAGGTATGGCTTTCACCACCTTCTAGTTCTCAAACTGAAGCAACTCCGACAATCACTTCCAACGATCCATCAGCTTCATGGTTTTCGAAGTAACAGACAGTATGGACTTCCGAAAGAATCATGAGTGCAAGCTTGAGAGCTCGAGGAGCCTGTCATGATATGAGTCAGTCAAAGGCATGAGAGTCCATAAATATCAATAAGTTGCCAATTCAACCTAAGAACATAGGCGCTGTTATCACCCCAAGCTGACAATAAACCAAAAGAAATTCAAGCCAAGAACATGGTTTTGTTTTCATGAAATTCACGCCAAGAACATAGGTGTATGTAAACAAAAAACCATGTCAGAGACAAAAGAAATTTCATGAAAGTAGGTTTCAGATTTCATGTCCCTAATCCCAACTCTAACCTGATATCATCAAGTAGGATATGCTTTCTTTTTTACTTGTCATTTCCAATCATCATGTAGGATATGCTTTTTTTTTACTTTGCAAAATATGACTGTTTTCATATTATGGGTCGTGATCAATTGGAACTACTTTTTGACATTCTGTGTACCTCAAGCCCTTGTGAAGCGTGGCCTATACTTGATGGAATGAGAGAAATAATCCAAAAAAATTTCTGACGCTTATGTTTTATGGTCTATCTATTTCTTGTACTTTTGTAAAAGAAAGTGCAGGTCACACAGGTTTCAGATGTCATGATCCCATTCTATTTTCAGTCTGTCTCCACTGAACATGATCACTAGATGGAAGAATTACAGATGAACGTACTCGGAAAAAAAATCCTCAAATTTGTAAACCGAAAACTCAACATTGCTATTACAAGAATTGCAAATCCTTATCCACAAAGGCCTGAGACTAGTTCAAAGGACAAGGAACATAACACCATGTGGTCGAGACAAAAATTCATGACCATCACATTTAAACCAGCACTTTTGTACCTCTCAAAATCTCATACTATACAAATAGCTCCCCGCATTTTGCCAAGCTCAACTCGTAAGTTTCTAACCCTAATTTCATTAATTGAATCTTCACCTACATTCATGACACTCTTTTCCATACATAACCAGCACTGTTCTACAAAACAACCTAAAACCTTCATCCTGGTACCTGGCAGAAAATGCAAAACCTACAGCTAAAAGCTTACAACAAAGCGCTCAGGAAGATCAAGATCTTAGAACCCTGACAAACCGGTCAACCTGAAACATAACTTTTAATCAATCACTAACACAAAAACGCCTTGATGTTTTCAATCAGGAATGTTCTAAAAATAATTCTCAACTTGCTAGCAACATAACGTATTCCTCCCTGTAATACTCTTTACCCATTACTAATTGTGATTTAACAGCTAAGAAGTAATAAACAAGATAACGATGATATATATGTTCATTTACCAACATCAATGAAACAAGTAAAGAACATACTCCAATGCAGTAGCACCTATTTAGATGACAGAAAAAACTCCATTGCAGGGTTTATTTGCGAGAAACAAACCCTTTTTTTCTCATGGTTTGGCTAAATTTTTAAAAAACAAAACAAAACTACTAAAAGTACGAGAAATCAATCCAACGGGACAAATCAGACACAACTCTTTCTCATTTTCACCAATTGCCATTTGTAAACCGAAAACTCAACATTGCTATTACAAGAATTGCAAATCCTTATCCACAAAGACCTGAGACTAGTTCAAAGGACAAGGAACATAACACCATGTGGTCAAGACAAAAATTCATGACCATCACATTTAAACCAGCACTTTTGTACCTCTCAAAATCTCATACTATACAAATAGCTCCCCGCATTTCGCCAAGCTCAACTCGTAAGTTTCTAACCCTAATTTCATTAATTGAATCTTCACCTACATTCATGACACTCTTTTCCATACATAACCAGCACTGTTCTACAAAACAACCTAAAACCTTCATCCTGGTACCTGGCAGAAAATGCAAAACCTACAGCTAAAAGCTTACAACAAAGCGCTCAGGAACTAAGACAAAATAATAGCCCGGGACAACAGATAGCATCTTAATACAACATAAACCCCCTATTTTGCCAAGCTCAACTCGTAAGTTTCTAACCCTAATTTCATTAATTGAATCTTCACCTACATTCATGACACTCTTTTCCATACATAACCAGCACTGTTCTACAAAACAACCTAAAACCTTCATCCTGGTACCTGGCAGAAAATGCAAAACCTACAGCTAAAAGCTTACAACAAAGCGCTCAGGAAGATCAAGATCTTAGAACCCTGACAAACCGGTCAACCTGAAACATAACTTTTAATCAATCACTAACACAAAAACGCCTTGATGTTTTCAATCAGGAATGTTCTAAAAATAATTCTCAACTTGCTAGCAACATAACGTATTCCTCCCTGTAATACACTTTCCCCATTACTAATTGTGATTTAACAGCTAAGAAGTAATAAACAAGATAACGATGATATATATGTTCATTTACCAACATCAATGAAACAAGTAAAGAACATACTCTAATGCAGTAGCTCCTATTTAGATGACAGAAAAAACTCCATTGCAGGGTTTATTTGCGAGAAACAAACCCTTTTTTTCTCATGGTTTGGCTAAATTTTTAAAAAACAAAACAAAACTACTAAAAGTACGAGAAATCAATCCAACGGGACAAATCAGACACAACTCTTTCTCATTTTCACCAATTGCCACAATGATTTTTAGTTACTGAGTTCATGACAGGACTGACAGCACATTTTAAAGACAACCTGCCTATCAATGACATTGCAAAACATTATAACCTTAGACTCAGCAAATTGTTTTGATAGGAAACATTAGATCTGAATTATGCATCCAAAATCATCAAAACCCTACCCAAGTATCTCAAATTCCAAAACCAAAAACTGCCCGTATCCTCTGGAAAATAAGATCCCGCCAAACTCTTTCTGTATTCTCCACCACAGAATCCCAATCAATGAAACTATAAACTGAGATTAATTAAAAGCTCAAATCAAACCTAACCTGTCTTCGTCGGGAATATCCGAATGTGTTAGCTTAACAACAGTGAGCAAAAATTCAAACCAAACACGCTCAGTCCACAAATCACAAAACCAATTAAAATCAACCAAAAGCAAAACTTCACATACCGTTAATCAATCCCATCAAGCCACTGCATTGAACTACGCCTTTGGCCCCTAGAGATTGTGGTAAACACCATGGAGAGAGCAAAAAAAAACCATTCGAAATTTGGCGGAGAAAGGGCAAAAAAAATTTGGACCATTTCTCGATTTATGCGTGTCATCCTTGCGCAGGGGCCATGCTAATCTTCTCTGTATCGTTCCAATTTTATCGGATGTCCCCGAAGGGATACTCCGAAAAAAAATCCTCAAATTTGTAAACCGAAAACTCAACATTGCTATTACAAGAATTGCAAATCCTTATCCACAAAGACCTGAGACTAGTTCAAAGGACAAGGAACATAACACCATGTGGTCAAGACAAAAATTCATGACCATCACATTTAAACCAGCACTTTTGTACCTCTCAAAATCTCATACTATACAAATAGCTCCCCGCATTTTGCCAAGCTCAACTCGTAAGTTTCTAACCCTAATTTCATTAATTGAATCTTCACCTACATTCATGACACTCTTTTCCATACATAACCAGCACTGTTCTACAAAACAACCTAAAACCTTCATCCTGGTACCTGCAGAAAATGCAAAACCTACAGCTAAAAGCTTACAACAAAGCGCTCAGGAAGATCAAGATCTTAGAACCCTGACAAACCGGTCAACCTGAAACATAACTTTTAATCAATCACTAACACAAAAACGCCTTGATGTTTTCAATCAGGAATGTTCTAAAAATAATTCTCAACTTGCTAGCAACATAACGTATTCCTCCCTGTAATACTTTTTCCCCATTACTAATTGTGATTTAACAGCTAAGAAGTAATAAACAAGATAACGATGATATATATGTTCATTTACCAACATCAATGAAACAAGTAAAGAACATACTCCAATGCAGTAGCACCTATTTAGATGACAGAAAAAACTCCATTGCAGGGTTTATTTGCGAGAAACAAACCCTTTTTTCCTCATGGTTTGGCTAAATTTTTAAAAAACAAAACAAAACAACTAAAAGTACGAGAAATCAATCCAACGGGACAAATCAGACACAACTCTTTCTCATTTTCACCAATTGCCACAATGATTTTTAGTTACTGAGTTCATGACAGGACTGACAGCACATTTTAAAGACAACCTGCCTATCAATGACATTGCAAAACATTATAACCTTAGACTCAGCAAATTGTTTTGATAGGAAACATTAGATCTGAATTATGCATCCAAAATCATCAAAACCCTACCCAAGTATCTCAAATTCCAAAACCAAAAACTGCCCGTATCCTCTGGAAAATAAGATCCCGCCAAACTCTTTCTGTATTCTCCACCACAGAATCCCAATCAATGAAACTATAAACTGAGATTAATTAAAAGCTCAAATCAAACCTAACCTGTCTTCGTTGGGAATATCCGAATGTGTTAGCTTAACAACAGTGAGCAAAAATTCAAACCAAACACGCTCAGTTCACAAATCACAAAACCAATTAAAATCAACCAAAAATACGTTCAACCAAAAGCAAAACTTCACATACCGTTAATCAATCCCATCAAGCCACTGCATTGAACTACGCCTTTGGCCCTAGAGATTGTGGTAAACACCATGGAGAGAGCAAAAAAAAACCATTCGAAATTTGGCGGAGAAAGGGCAAAAAAAATTTGGACCATTTCTCGATTTATGCGTGTCATCCTTGCGCAGGGGCCATGCTAATCTTCTCTGTATCGTTCCAATTTTATCGGATGTCCCCGAAGGGACGAGCTTAAGTCTTCAGCGCAAGGATATAAAGAACTCGGCAAATATACAATTCTTCGATGTGGGACAAAGCCTCCTCCGTTTTAATAGTAAGTTGTTCAGCAGTTGGGCCTTTCCTCGCGGATTTAATAATAAGCCCAATGGAGTTTGAGTCCCAATCTCAGGTAAGGATACAAAATTGCATTGGGAAGCTCTTTACCTGTACCAACTTTATCTGTGGATTAATTTCCTCTTTCTGAGAAATTAAGCTCCAGTAGTGAAGACCCGACTTAACAACAGAACTCTTTTAACTTTTTTCCCCAACTTGTTTGGGATAATGGGCCAAAAAATAAAATTAGTTTGGGATGATATTATGGTGTGTTTTTCTCCCAATCCTAATCTTGACTTGTATTGTAGGTTGGTATTTGGTTAAACAATGTTGGATAAAATATTTTGTGATGGTTTGAATATTCTTGGACACCTTTTTTTCTTTTCAAGTAGTTTTGTAGAGGCAAGTTCTACACATGGGCTTTTATCGGTTATATTTTGTTATGAAAAAAGTAAAATTACTCTCTGCAATTGTAAGATGGTGCAAGATCGGTGTCCTTGTCATAAATTTGACAACATTAAATTGGAAAATATGACTCTTTTCACGGCTGTGATCAATTGCAACTAATTTTGATATTCTAGTACACAACAGGGTTACCTTGTAAAAGCGTGGAAATATCCCTGTATATCTGAATTTCACCCTCATGCTATAGATATTTTTTTTATTGTTTATTGGCAACAATTCAGATAAGATTTTCCATTTTGGAAGACAAGTTTTCTGATTATATAGGGAAACATTGCACAAGTTCTCTTTCATTGTTTTTTTTTGGTACACACCACGGATGTTACACGGATACTAAACTCACACACACTTCATTGTTAAATATACTGCAAGTAATGGAATGGCGAGCAGTTTAAGGCAGAAGTGATTTGCGTAGATAAAGCCTGGCCTGTACCTGATGAAGTGAGGGAAATGATCCAAAAATTTGCACAATGCAACCTCTGTATGTAATTCAAACCAGCACCTTTGTTGTATACTACCAAACATCAAATGCAAATTAACATCTATCTCATGGTTTGGCTACAAATGCCACCAAGCACAAGCTCAACTCATAAGTTTGTAACCCTAATTTCATCGATTGAATCTTCACCCACATTCATAACACTTTTTACCATACATAACCAGCACTGTTTTACAAACAAGCCTAAAACCTTCATCCTGAAGCCTGATAACTGGCGGCAGATGCAAGATCCATAGGATCGAGGAACACAACTACAGCTCCAAGCATACAACAAAGCCCTCAGGTGGGAAGTTCCAGCAGTCCACAGCATGACAGGCAACGTACTCGTTTACAAAGACAATAACAAAGACAGGATGACGGCCCAGGACATCAGATAGCATCATACAACCCAAAACCCCCTCTCCAAAAAACAAACATCAAAACCTAAGTTTTCTCTTACTCATCAAGATCCTAGAACCCTGACAAAGCTGGCAACCTGAAACATAACTTCTAATCAATCACTACCACTAAAAGGCCTTGATGTTTCCAATCTAATGTTCTAAAACTGATGTCCCAAGGCCTTTAGGAATTATTTGGATTCGACACCCACACCAAATTTCCGTACTTGCTAGCAACATAATGCATTCATCCCTCTAATACTCTTTCCCCATTGTTAATTGTGAATCAACAGCTAAGAAGTAACAAGAAGATAAACAATTATACATATGTTCATTTGCTAACAATGAAACAAGTAAATAACATACTCCAATGCAGTAGCACCTATTTAGATGACAGAAGAATCTCCAATGCAGTACAGATGTGAAAAACACAGCTCTTCTGCAAGGCAGTAAGAAACAAACCTTTTTTTTCTCGCAGTGATGAAAAGTAAATACAGTTAAGACAAAGAAGCAAAAATGGTAAAAGTGCGATAAATCAACCCAATGAGACAAACCAGATACAACTCTTTCTCACCAAATTCTACAATGATTCTCAGTTATTGAAATAGTGAGAGGACTGACAACACATTTTAAAGACAAGCAGTTTATCAATGACATTGCGAAACATTGTAACATTAGACTCAGCAAATTGTTTTGATAGGAAACATTAGATCTGAATCATAATTCCAAAATCATTAAATTCTACACTTTCAAGAGAAACCCTACTCAAGTATCTCAAATTCCAAAACTAAAAACTGCCCGTATCCTCTGGAAAATAAGATCCCGCCATCCTCTCTCCGTATTCTCCACCACAGTCGCATTCCCATATCTGCATTACCAAAGGTACCAAAACAAGGCAGTCAGCTTTTCATAGAAGAAAACAATAAAACTCACATAAACTAAAACTAAAAATAAACCATTAATCAAAAGTTCAAATCGAAACCAACCTGTCTTCCTCAGGAATATCCGAATGTGTTAGCTTGACAACAGTGAGCCCGGGTTCAGGCTCTTCAAGTGTAAGCCTCACCTGCAAAAATTCAAACAAAACATACTCAACCCACAAATCACAAAACCATTTAAAACCAACCAAGAATTCATTTCAACCAAAAAGAAAAACACTTGACATACCGTTGAATCAATGCCATCAGGCCAGCTCCCAAATCTCCATTTCTGCACAATCAAGCTCCCATTCTGCAACTCCAAATTGGTACCCGTCACCGACCCATCGAAAATGCTAATCTGCCCACCAACCTCCTTGCTTATCTTGGCATTGCTCTGACTAAAACCCTTCCATCTATTCTCATCCATCAAAATCTCAAACAAATCTTTCGCTCTGCAACTAAACTTCTCAGTCATACTAATCGTCTTGAACCCTTTTTTACTCTCCTTCTTCTTCACCTCTTTCTTCTCCACCACCACCTCCTTCTTCACCGCCTCCGCAGCAGCCGGTACTGCCGCCGTCGAATTACTCTTTGTGGCAATCTTCTTAGCCTCTACTTCGTCCTTAACGGGCCCACCTTTCGCAATACTCTCTACATAAACCCTAACCTTCTCCAAAATCAAAGGCTTCCCTTTAGCCAACATGGCCTCCTTAAGCCTCTTCCCAATGGGCCCCTCATCCTTAACCGAAATCTTGACCTCCGGGTCCTCATCAGCGTTCTCGTCCGCAATATAAGGAATCTCCACCACCCCATCGACCTTTAGCAGCGATTTTCCATCGGCGTCTTTGGCCTCGCCTTCCCAGGAAAGACTGAGGCTGATTTCGTAGCCGGGAATGATCTTGCCCTTCCGGATGTTGACGTAGGCCTCGCCGTCGACCTTGTCGACGGTCTTGGTCTTGAGATGGAGGTTGCCTTCGCCATCGAGAACGGTGAGGTTGCTGAGGAGCTTGGTCAGGAGGTCGCGTGACCAACCGAGGCAATCGGTCTCGGCCCAGTGCCAGTTGTGGACGTTGGCTCCGTCTGGCCTGTCCTCCACGATCCATCGCTTGTCGCCCTCGCCGTACTTCGCCATTGATCAAATTACAAGTCCGCAAGATCGAGACAGAGAGATAGAGAGACTGAGTGTGTTCTGGGGATAGAGAGGGTTTGGAGATGTGAAAGGAGAGAGAAATAAGGGGCTGGAGAGAGGCTCTAGAGGGTTCTTGTGAGGAGAGTGGAAGGGTCTAGAATTTTGGGGTGGCTGGCTGAGGCCCAATAAAGTTGGGGAACCAATTACTTTGTAGATTCGGATTTTGGAGTAGAAGGATCTGGAAGACTGGAGCCAGCCTTATTTAGGTTAGTTTGCCATTTGTGTTGTTTTAACTGGGATGACTTGACAATTCAAAACAACAAAACCCCTGCTTGACTTGTTGATTCATCAACTATCTTTCATTTCTTTTTTCTTTTAAGAGTGATATTGGCACTTCCAAAAAAATATATATATATATGTAAAGCACTCTTTACAGTGCAATCTCTTGAAAAGTGCTTGTAGCTCAAAAAGTTAATATCTAAGATCCTGTATTCGAATCACCCCTTCAATGTCACTTATATCAAAATAATGAAAAGTACAACTTCTCTATAAAAAAATTCTTTTATTAAGGGCTTTATGTAGTGTGAAAAACAATTCCCTTTTTGTTTTTTAAAATCAATGACTTACCAATTTAGTTGCATTTGCCCCCAAGAATTTAAAAGGAAAATAATCAGTTTGTCAAATAGGAGAAACTAAATAGAGGCAAAATACTATTGATAAAATTTATATTAAAAACCACAAATATATCAAAGCAGGGACAGATTGATGACTTATAGTAGATGGTTTTGTACAGAGAATGCAAAGGAAAAAAGGATTATGAGAGACCACAAGCATGCATATCTACATTTTATACAATTTCATGAAACATTTCTTTTCTTGGTCCTCAAATTCCTTTTGTGGAATTCCCTGCTGGATAATCCAACATCAGGGTGGCCTGAGAGTGTTTTTAGGAGCACTTATCCAAGAGGTGCCTGCAACTGCAAATCTCCACAATGCATTGACATGCTCAGGTAAAGCATACTCGATGCCCACACGGGGACCAATCAACATCTTTTCAGGCTCTGGACCGTCTAAGATCTCCAGACCACCTGGCCGGAAGAATTCATTTACTTCAGAATTACATAAGTTCCTTTAGATTTAGAGATAAATATGCGTGAGTGCTATGCGTACCAGGATTATAAAGGGGATGGTTAGACCATTCAGTAGAAAGTCCCAGTGCTTGACCAATCTGAACACAGAAATCAGCAACTCTAACAAGCAGCGAACAAAAAGCAAGGTGCATGGAAATGAAATCATAACAATTCAGAAAAGTTTATCAGTTTTCCTAAGAATAAGAACACAGTGCAGTGTTCTTATTCTTGGAACACCTAAACACCTATAAACATTTCAGTCAATTATCTGTCAATATATTTGTGTTCATCGTTCAGTCTTTAAACAATCACAATCATACAATCAACAAAGTCTCTTGTTTTTCTTTTTGGGAAAAACTAGTCAATCAATTTTCAAATCAGGCTGACTTTTAAAATTAATAGATTTCTGTTTTGATCGAATCAACACCACTGCACTAACACCGCATCCAATAAATAGAGTCAACCATCATCCACTAAAACAAAAATTGTACCAACAGAAGATTGCATTAGAAATTTAAAGAAAAAGGTGCTGACCTTTCCAGGTCCATTAAGTAGCACAGGTTTATCAGTCTTCTGACCTCGACGCTGCTGAATGGTCTCAAGTCCTATAATGATTTTCACTATACATATGAATAACATTCATCGAGAGCAATGGACAGAAGAGAAGAAACATGCTCTTTTCAGATGGTTAAATGATAGTTAGATGTATAGAGAAAAGGAGACTTTTAGAGCTTTTTTCTCTCTGGGCCTCCTTTGAGAGAATGAAATTCATGTTAGGTTTGGTTTTTCAAGTATTCCACAGATACTTCTAACTATATATTTTTTCTATTTCTTTCAACCCATCCAAACTCATATGAGAGAAATTAGAAATCTTAATATTATGTTCTTTGTTTTTGTTTTTCTAAAAGCAGTAATGAATTGAAAATAAAGAAGAGGTCCTTCTAAAAAGCTTCTGGTAAGCAATAAAGAGAAATATAAAGGGTATCAAAGAGCTGAACCTATGTAACATGGATACTCAACACATTCTTCTCTCTATTTTCTGCAACCATTTGGCAATTTCTGATAATCCATACCATCTCAAAGAATAATCAGCTAAGTCCATCCACAGAATTTCAAGCTACTAGCTTCACACAGTAGCATTGATTTCTTGTCTTTCAAGTACATTTCTTTCAGCTAAGCACCACTCAGAGTTATTTTTATCTTCTGCAATGCTATCAGCAAAGAAGCCCCGATGACTGCATTAAGAGTGCTTCTATTACCAGTCCAAAATGCTCAGTGAGCGCTTTCCCCACTCCCATTATTTCTTTTTTTTGAAGTTATATTGCTCAACCCACCTGGAGCATTCCCCAACTACTCCTAAAACAACCCTACTCTTTGAAAAACAAAATAAGACAAATCTCTTCATTTATCCATCTTACCTACATCGTAAACCAATAGAGTTTTAAAAAATAATAATAAGCTGGTTGCAGTTTCCATATAATTGTAACAAAGGTTGGTTAGCAGCTGTTGCCATATTGAATTTATAAATTTTCTTCCTCTCTCGGTTTGAGAATGATAGGACAAGACCATCGCTTTCAACAAAAGGGTAGAAGTATATGAATACTAGCAATAGAAGGTAAACAGAAGGGTAACTCTAGTTAATGATCATAAGGGTATTATGACAATCTCTATGGAAAGTTACCACTAACTGGAGCACAAGAACGTATTAGGACGGCAGCTCCAACTCCCTCCTTGTCAGCAACAACATTCAGCATTGTATGAAGGCCATAGCAAAGATAAACATATGCATTTCCTCCAGGCCCAAACTGTATCCAAACAACCAATCCATCACCAATGCAATTTCCAATACATCAATATGAGTTCAAAGTTTTTGATGTATATTCTAAAATTTAAAAGAAAAACAAATAAGGAAACAAATAAGGGCAGAATCTCACAACGGGGGCTGTTCTTGCAGTTACGCCAAATCGACCATGACAAGCTGAGTCATTTTGCCTATAAGCTTCTACCTGTCAGAAGATTCCCATTACTGTTAACCAAGCTACCATTAGAATTAGTGCATTCAACAAGGGGAAGATGAAACATTTTGATTTTCTTTTTATGGTCTAAAACATATGGAATTAGTGCATTCAATTTTGACAAAATGTAACTCGTTTTGAGAGTTGGAAGCTTTTGAGTTCTCACAAAATGTCTATTTTTCCACAAAACGAAAATATTTCAGAATTCCAATTTGTTTTCTTCTTTCCTCAGAGCATACAAAGGGGTAAAAAACGAATTAAGCTAAGATAATAAAAACCCAAGTACTTAGAAACTGCAGTTTCTTCTCGTTTACTAAATTTTCTCGAGAAACAAACAGAAAAAAAAAAAACAAAAAAAAGTGAGAGAGGAGTGATTATTACCTCGGTAATCTGAAGAACAACATCGTCACGCCTGAGAAGCTTGCCGAGCAAACGTGGGGCGAGGTCGAGGGCGTCAATTTGGAAGAAAGTGAAGGGCAAGATCGTCATTTTCTCGGGAGGATTGTCTGGGATTGGGATTGAGCCGGGTTTGGTTTGGAGTTGAGATTTGGACTTCTTGGGTTTGAGAACGGTACCGGTCAATGAGTCGGAAGGTTGACTCGGCCGAGCTTCGTCGTCGTCGTCATGAATTGGCCTCTTGGATTTGGCGGTGACTCGTTCGAATCGCCGTGTTCTCTTCATTCTTCTCGCATCAACATGTTATGTTTGCTGGGTTTTGGCGGGTATTTGTTTGGTTTTCTCATTTTTCCTTTTCTTTTTGGGTTAAATACTTTTTTTGTCACTTGGTTTTACACAAAAATTCAATCTGTTCACTGAGAAATTTTTTTAGGAAAATTGGTCGTTGTATTTCCCAAAATTTACAATTTATAGACATTCTGTTATCTTCCGTTAAATGCAGTTATTATTATTATTATTATTTGTGGAAACATCTTCAGTCTTGTTCCTCTAACTCGACAAGTATGGTATTTTGTGCTATTAGAGCATGTCCACCCATGAAGGCTAAGGCAAGGCAAGGGTTGCCACTATTCATGTGAATAGTGGCAGCCTTGCCTTAGTTGGTTCCACCCTTGGAAGGCTAGGCAAGGGCAAATACTATTTATATGAGATATGAATAGATGAATTTGTATAGAGTTTTTGGTGTGGGAAATAAAGAATATGCCTAGGTATTTATTTAAAAAAATTCCGGAATTTTTGGTTTTTTTTTCTTCCTTTTTTTATTTATTGCTGACGTCAGCATTGCATCATCCTGCCCAGGCAGCAGCTCGGGCTGAATTTGCCTGTGGGCTTGCCTGGGCTCGTGGGACCCAGCTCTTGCCCGGGCTGGATTTCCTGCGCTGGAGGGGGAAATGGGCTGGCGGGGGGCCTTTTGCCCAGGCAGGGCTCCTATGCTGGAGGTGCTCTTAGGGGTTTAACAAATTGGGGGAAATAGTTGAATTGAAATTATAAGGAAAATCAAAAGGCCAAACCAAGTTAAAATGAAATCACAATTTCAAATTCAACCTAAGATTTCCTCCAATTTATTAAACCCTAATAGCACAATATGCTCTAACTCATTGAGTTAGAATAAGAAGACTAAATGTGCTTCTTACAAAATAAAAATAAAAACTGCACTTATGGAATGAACGGAAGATAAAGGAATGTCTATAAATTGTAAACTTTGAGAAATACAGTGACCAATTTGGCTAAATTTTTTTCTCAGTGACAAAATTAAATTTTTGTGTAAAACCCAATGACCAAAAGGTATTTAACCCTATATATTTTGTTGTTGCTCATTTAAGTTCACTTTAGGGTATTTATTTGGTTCTTTATACTTCTATTTTGATTAATTTTAAATTACATCTTATAGGTAAAAACTTAGGTATAAGAATTGTAAATTTTGGAAATAATTTTTTGTTTTAATTGTTAAACAAAATGTTCATTTTTTTATTTATCAAAAACCGAAATGGGGTTTAAGTGATCCAAGCGAAACCTGCTAAAACAAAGTATCACCCTATATAGGTGGATTAAAAATGGAATATCCTGGTTCCTTGAAGGAGCCAAAACTGATGCATTCTATACTGGAAAAATGATGAAATTATTGTCTGATATGGTCACATGATACG